TTCCTGTGATGCAGAAAGATACCAATAATCCTGTTTTTTTTACACCAGTAGCATTTATTGTATACTAAAAGTTAAACTGAGAGAAATTAAATAAGCCCTGAAGAAAGTAAAAACAACTACAGCCCTCAGATACTGTGGATGTCCATACTACTTGGTTGATAACCAGTAAGAACACTATCCATTGATACAATACCAAAATCTTAATACCAACTGCCAGACATTACTTTCCAGAACAGCTTAGGAGCTAGCAACTGCAACATAAAAGTAGCTGGATATAAGCAAAAAGAAAAAAATCCATACTAATTAATCAAACCCACAGATTTGATTAATTCAGCACACCATTACTAGTCTATCACATTCATCATAAACCTGTAAATTCGCACTTTTGTCCATTCATCTTTCCTAAATCTTGAGAACAAAGTTAGATAAATGAAACCTGAGATGAGATATGGAAAGCTTAGGGGCAGAAGGCTCCAATTCACTATGTAAGAACTTCTGAGAAAACTGGAAGTTGTGTTATTTCAATTAAAAAGTTTACCCCAGAAAGGAGTTAGATGATCAGCATAACTATTGTTAAAGGAAAAGTATGATATATGGGACAAGACACTACAGTAAGTTTGAGGTGGAGAGCATATATTTTAAATAAAATAAATTTAAAATATAATTAAAAGTGAGTCTGGTATTGTAATGATGCCACAATAAATAATTGCCCATTTCTTTTTTACTTCAATAAATAAATTTTACTGCAATCCTCTCCATTTGTAATATGATACTCATTCCTATATATCACATGCTTATTTTTGAATGTCCCAACACATAATAAAATGCAAAATAAATATATCATCATCTAAACACACACAAAATATTAAAACATGTTATTGACATTCACATTCCATTTTCAAGTGTGTGAATTCTGACAAGATTTTGGTCCCGAAAAATGTTTAAATCTAAATAAAGTGAACTCTTACTGTTTCTAACATTGTTTTCTTTTAACAGTTTTTTATTTTTATACAGATAAAATGAAGCACCTTTAATTTCTTAATTATAATTATCTTAAATTTTAATATTAAATATGCATAATATAAAAAATGAATTACATATTAATTATAATTCATAAAAATTATTCACTTTAATTAAATTAATTAAAGTATGAGAAAAACTTCAAGACAAATCATGCTTACATAACAGGATGATATTTCCTTATAATTTCTTAATACTTGTAAATATTGTAATTTTGTATTTTAATTATGTATAATTTTGAAATATATCTAAATAAAAGTAATTTAAATGGTAGATAGATCATTCTAATATAATCAAAATATTGTCTCTGAATCAATACTGCATGGAAAGGGAAGAAAACACCTTAATTCCAATACTTAATAACAGCACTTAATAAATATTTGATGTTGAGGAATTAAGAAAGCTATGAATTTGTTTTACTTTTTCATTTTATATATATTAATATAGAAAAAAATATTAACTATTAAAAATGTTTAGTCATCTCAGATATGTGGATTCTTCATACAATATTAATTTAAATCAATATTTTTTAAAAATATTTCTAATCACAACTAGATTTGAAATACAAAATGACGTAAACATATGCATGCTGCCAATTAATGAATAACGAATCTCCAGGAACACATTCATTTTGGGGCCTGGAAAGTGTTATACTATTTAATTTTAATGCTTAAATAAATAAACCAACATTTGTGTTGCATCAAATAATTAAATTATGGTATTATACAGCCTAATCCAAAATATGCAGTTTACATATACAGTACCTTTCAGAGAAAAAATTAAGTAACCAGAGAAAAAATTAAGTAAAAGTAATGATAAAGAAGAAATAATATAGCATGCAGCTATATCAGTACAGGTAACCCCCGTATAACACAGCACTTCTATAGCACGGATTCACTCTGACACGGTTCGAGAATTGGGTAAAACCCTCGTACAACAGGAAATGTAATAAATTTTTACATACTTAAGTAATAATAGTTCACGAAAATAATAATTTTCGTGAACTATTAGTACTTAAATATGTAAATTTTCTCTTCTTGCCTTCTGTCGATACACGTGGTCCTTCTCGAAACTTGTTTCAACGTTGCCAGATCGCGACGCTTCTGCTTCTGATGTTGCAGAATGTTTTTCCCTTATTCCATACTTGCTTTATTCTTCATAAGTGCTTAGCACCATATAAGGAAATTTATAAAAATCTTTTAAATAGAAGCAAGCAATGTAAAATTACATACATTTTGCAAAAGGTAAAGCACGGATCTGAAGATAATGCAGAAAAATGCTCAGAGGATAAGGATAACTTTCCAAAAAGAAAATGCTCTCGGTTAATTATAGTGTTTTTAGTGATGACAAAGAAAACATTGTTTAATTTATATTAGTATGTATCACTTAAAAAATTTTAATGAAGATATTTATCTTAATTATGAAAATATACTAGCATGTTTTTTTAATTTTTGGAACCTAACCCTTTTTTTCGTATTAGTTCTTTGTTTCGTATAACACGGATTCGCATAACACGGCAATTCTTTGGAACGTAACTACCGTGTTATACGGGGATTACCTGTACTATAAATCTTTCTCAGGTAGTATCTTCATGTTTGTTTAACACTTGTGTTGCAAGTTATGTTCTTTAAAGAAAAGAGGTTTTGGTTTTCAAACAATTTATTTGTGTCAATGACATTTGAAACAGATTTTAAACAATCTACTATTAAAATTCTAGTCATTAAGGATAAAAACAGAACCCATAGCTGATTGTGTAACACATGAATCAGAAATTCATTATGATGGAACATTGCTATAAACTTTTTAAAAAGTCAGCAGTTGATATATATCTGTCTTTGTTAAAGGAATTTTAAATAACCTAGACATTGTCTTATAGGAGCATTTGACATAGGACTTGAATTTTCTGAGGAATGCTTTCCAGAAAGTAAAAGGTGAGGCCTTCCTGATGTTAAATCAACCTTACCAGATAAAAATCAATAACACTGTCTATTGGCATTAATAAATTTTAATAATTAAAACACAAAGCCATGCAAGTACTTTTGAATTTTAGAACATCATAGAATTTTATATCAATATCAATTATCATTATAGTTTGTTAACATTGATAGATACTAGTCTTAATTTTTATCTGGAAAGAATTATTTGGCATGAGAAGATAACTATTTCATAAATCAACCAATAGTAGCATCTGAAAGTGTCAACCACCATATAAAAAAAAATGCTTTATCAAGCCATTTCTTATTACTTAAATGTAAATATGCTTCCCATTTTGATGGAAATCCATCAAGGAAATCATACACTGTAATAACAAAATCAGAGACATATCTATAGCTCGTAACTCACATGAGCTTTACAAACAAGCAGTATGAACAGTGTAAATGGAACAAATTCCAATATCAATTAGCTCTATTTTACAAATTGCTACAGCATCTTCAAAGTCTCATCACTTTGTTTACATTACATTCCTTGAAAGCAATCATCAACAGTTCATGTGATGATAGATTTCCTTTCTCAATGACACTGAATACAGTTGCATGTATTGTAGTTGTATCAACTCATCCAATGAAAGTAGAGTTTAGAAGTCAAACAATTTCTCCTTTCTTATCAGACCAGAATCTGTTCACTATTTGGAGTTCTTTCTTATTTTCTACGTTAGCTGTTTCATCATAACTCAATGTATAAGAAGTTTGTGCCTCATCTAACATTTGTTGACTAAAATATGATACCAAAGTTTCTGTTGTAAGATAATACATCTTACATTCAAAGAAAATCTATCAAGAAAACATAAATTTGAAAACATTGCCTTCTAATGGAGTGATGCCATTACATTACACAAATGGAATAATTATTATAAATGTCCTTCACATAAATTAGGCAATGTATGCAGCATTCCTTACAGTGTATTATCCAGTATACCGAGCATAAGCAGGCATTGTATCTCCAGTTTATATCTTCTTTGGAGTCATTACTGTCTGCTTAATTTGCATGAAATTTCATTTTTGTATGTGACAATCTATGCAAATTAATCTCTAAAAGTACATTTGGGTATAAAATAAGTACTTGATATTTAGCATTAGTTACTGATAAAATGTAAATGATTACTCCTTTTCAAAAATTCATTTTTTTCTGATAATTACTAATATAAAAATTCTAGACTAGCTAGCAAAGCCACAACTTTTCTATGCCTTTCATGATTTTTATTACTAGTAGACATTCCTGTTCAGTATTAAAAATTACCGCTAAACTTTATAAAAAATTTTTAATGTTCTATTTTTTTCTTTTTTGCAACAGACAAAAAGCAGTCTTTCTTGAGAAAAATCAACCCACATCACTAAAATAACTATTCTTACTTGAAAGTTTGTTATCTCCAAAAAAGTATCAAAGATAATTACTAATTAATTTGTGAACTATTTTGATAATGCAAATTTCTCTTTTTCTTTCAAATTTATGTGAAAAAACCAGAATTAATAGCATATTCCATACATTAGAAAAGAGCCAATCAAAATATAACATGTAACTACAACTCTGTTTTGGTTGTCAAAGTATTCTGGAAAAAATTAAAAATAACCAAATGTAATGAAAACTTTGTTAAGTGACAGGCCAATAGAATAAACAGGTATATTAAGAATCAAAATGTAAAAAACCCTATATCTTTTTATAATACCAAATTTATTTAAGTCCAATTAAAAATAAACAGTTTTAAAAATATTCTAATTTAAATTAAAACTAACCATTGAAAAAAAAATTGTATCACAAACATTTATACTTTTTAAATTTTAAAAATCAATCCAGTTATATAAAAAATTTTATTTGTAACTATGCATGATTTAAGTAATATTTGCAACATCTTTTCTAAACTATTTGAAAAAGAAGTGTTCAAGTGCTTATCTATTTATTATTACTATGTATTTATATTTAATAAATATTAAAGTAAGATAAAATGGATTAAAACAAAGCACCTGCTACATTTTAAAGCCTACCTGTTTCTTCTTTTCCTCGGGCGAGGAGATCTTGCACGATGATTATCACTTATTCTTCTACTATGAGGAGAAGGAGATCTAGAATGGCCACGGCGCCCGCTACCAAGATGTTTTCTTCTAATTGGTGAAGGTGAACGAGATGGAGAACGACGACGATTTTCTAAAATGTGCTTTGTTCTGGGTGAAACTGATCTTGATCGTGATTTAACTTGATGTGTTTCAATCGATCGTCTATTTGTAACATTTACATTTCCTGTTTTAGGCGAGATAGATCGAGAACGAGAACGCATCCTACGACCACCACTCATGCGTTTAGATTTGGATGTCGATCTAGAACGAGATCGTTTCTGGTTATCACTTGACCGCTTCACATTTGAAGGTGATCTTGAACGTGAACGTGTTTTATGATGATCTAATGAATGCTTTGATCTAGGTGAATCAGATCTCACATGGCTCTTATTATGACTATCTGATGTGCGCTTCAACTTAGGTGATGCTGATCTTGATCTAGTTCTGTCTCTAGCACTGTCAGTTTTTTTATGTGGTGAAGGTGAATGAGACTGTCCATGACGATTCTCTGTAGAATGTTTTTCTACTTTATTGGGTAAGTCGCCCTTTGATTTTGGAGAGGCTGAAGCTCTGGAAAAAAATTATACACATATATAATTATCAAACCTAAGAAGTAACCTTACAATACCATGCTTATTTAAGCAATTTTCTTTCCAGATTGTTCAATTCAATCAAATTTTGAATGTAATAAAACAATAATCTTTGACAATATTTCACCTACTCCATTACAAAAACAACAAGTTTATCAATTTTAAAAAGAATTAATTTTTATTCATATATTCAAATGCCAATAATAATAATAATAATAATAATAATAAATATATAAATAACTATTTGACAAATTTTAAAATGTACCTTTCAGGATCTCTCTTAGTTTTTCCTTCAGTAGTAGTTTTATCTCTGTCTCTATTACGTTCCCGTTCTCTTTCTCTGTCCTCAATTTTTTTTAAATTGGCTTGGATGCGTTCTTGCTCCTCCTAAATATATAACTTGTTAGTTTTAATCAATGTATTTATAAAATAAAATCAATAAGTCTCATAAAAACATGTATTAAAAAATGATTTTCACATCTATAACCAAATAAACCCATCAATTTAATATTCTAAACCAATTTAAATCAAATCATATATTTAATTATCATCAACATTACCTAAAAAAACAATATTGATTTAATTCATTTTTAAAATATAACAAATATTTTTAAACATATGGAATTTAACCTATTCCATGAACCAATATTTCTAATCCAAAGCACTGAAATTTAATAAAATATGTATTTCTGTAACTCAAATAAATATATTCAGATTTTAATAGTTATTTTTAAAAAATTACTATTTTTTATATTTTCTTTTCTGTTTAATAACTCAATTGTAAATAATCAAATCATTCTGTAACTTAAATCAGTGACAGCAGAAATAATGCCTACTACCAATTAGGTAGCAATATTTTGTTATATTAAGATGATGTTCCTTGATCACTGGATCAATTAGAAACAAACTTTCAAGAATATTTTTGTGGATTTAATGTTATACTAATAATTTTAAATTTAAACAGTAGTAGTGTTTTTCCAATGTAATGATTATTTACTGATTTCTCAGATTATTGAGAATTAATCATCATTTAAGCCAATAAGTACAGTTATTGACTAGCAAGCAATTAATTGTTACTATGTACCTATGTGCTAATTAAACTAATTTTTAATAGACTGTATTTTGGTAATTAATACAGGTAACCCTCGGTTTACGCCACAGTTCCGTTCCTACAAAAGCTGGCACAAATCGAATTGGCGTAAAATAAACCCATATTTACAGTGAGGTATAAGGTTAGGTTCTACATAAGTGAAAAATAAGGAAATAATTTTGTTTATTAATTAATACAATATAATACAAAATACATATATTATAAATTTAATTTTTTTAAATGTATTTTATGATAAAATGAAATGTTTTTATTAATTAAAAGATCTTAAGAAAAACAAATGATACAATGGTGCCTTGTATAATGTACTTAATCCGTTCCTGGTGCATGTCCGTTAAGTGAAAAGTCTGTTATACGAAACGCATTTTCCCATAGAAATACATGTTAAAATATATAATTCGTTCCACAGCATAAAATAACCATACTGTACCATTAAAAAAAATGAAAATGGAGCAGTCACCAATTATGCCGGGTAGTCAGATGCTGTGAGGAGGAGGTGGAGGAACGATTTATTTACACATTCATACAGATAGAGACTTTTTACACATTCATACAGATAGAGACTTTTTACACATTGCAGCAGGTCCCTTTTTATAGTCTTTTAATTGGAGTCAGATTCAGGAGAGGCTACCGGAGCTTGAGGGGTCAACTCCTCTTGTTCCATCCTTTGTTTTTTCCCTGCTGGCTTCTTGAAAAACATGTCCAAGGTGGTCTGTTTCTTTCTCTTCTTCAACACCTGTCGGAAATGATGGGCAAGGGTGTCATTGTAGAGATCATTGATCCTGTTGGCCTCAGCTCTGTTTGGATAATGAGTGTTGGTAAACTCCTGAACCTCTCCCCATTTGACAAGGAAGTTTTTGTCAACTTTCACTCCTTCTGACGATTTCTTGCTTTGTTTCAATTGAAATCACCTTTCTGTTTTTTTTTAGAAGCCATGATTTGCACAACACTTGAATAAATGTAAATACTCTGCACTGAGGCGATGTATGTAATAAACAAGGGAGCAAGCCGAATCCCAACGGGAGCTCTGTACTTCAGATATACTAATAATATATTCTAATAATACTAATGTATTATAGAAATAGCAGATTGTCATTGTCATTGGCAACGGCAAAAGAGTGGAAACATCATTCGCACTTCTTCGCCTCACTCCTTCGCTTAACTGCCAAATGGAAAGTCTGTTGTTCGCAGCCAGTCTGTTGCTTGAATCACGTAACGGCCAAACAGAAAGTCCGTTATTCGAGGCGTACGTTATATGAGGCACCACTGTATTTCAAAGTTTCGAATATCTTACATTTTTCAGAAAAAAAAGTATCCATTTGTAATTGTTTAGATTTTTGTTTTCTTTCATTAATAATTTCGGAATGGTCAAATGGATGCGATGATGCTCCTTTTTAGATTTGCACTTCACTCCTAATCATTATCTAACTCACAAAGTTCATCCATCAAACTTTCCATAGTTGAAAGGATATGCTAACCCAAAATAGAGCTACAGACAAACAAAGACACTGATTGGTCGACCGCCAGCCACCGTAATGCATATATAAGGTCAGTTTGGGCAGAAAAATTGAAGTTAGTTTCATCGTGCTAACGATAACTTGTGATTGCTGGAAGTGCTACTGTGTCGTAAGGTGTTTTCCTGAACGAACTGATACGGCATACGAACTATTCACGTTCATTAGCTCTCTGGATTCGGACGACATTTATTGGTCTATTAAGTTTAATAACTTGACTTGTGGGAAGCTAAACATTTAGTATTTTAATATTAATTTAATGCAAATGTATACATATCCAATAATATTAAACAAAAAAAATAAATATATTCAATAAAAATCTGTTTTAACAAATGTACAATATCGCGACTTGGTAAATACATTAACACTTAAATGAAAATCAGTCTGACTTAGGGGAAATTGGGAAATTACACCACAAGACGGCGAATTGCGCAGCGGCATTATTGTGAATCAACATAAATTGAGTCAGCATAAACAGAGGGCTACCTGTAACTATAAAAAGTCTAATATTGTTATGTAATTAGTTTTAATAAAGTTTTGTTTTTCTTTAACAAACTTTAATGCAACATTTTTTAAATCTAATCCATAATCTAACAATGTTTTAAACTATGCAAATTTCATATTATTTGAAAATTACATAAGTTTCTATATCTTTACCTGTCTCTTCTTAATTTCTTCTTTCTTCTGCTCTAAAAATGCTGCAGGAATTCCACCTATATTTTCTTGAGCACTTAACAAAAGAGTCCATAGTTCAGTCATAAATTCTCTTGCATTCTTCCCATTGAGAAATCCAGTCAAATTGATTTGCATTAGCTTCCCATCAGGATACTGTAAAAGAAAAATTAAAAAATAGTGATTCAATTTTAAAATTAAATTCACTGAAGATGTTTATAAATTAAATATATTTTATATCTTAAAACTTCATAAATGTAAATATTAGCCAATTTCAACTCTGTTTTAATTGCAAAACATGTTTTTAATTTCAAAAATAAATTCTTAATTATCATTATTTTAAAAACCATTACAGACAATTGTTTTCAAATATCATTCACAATTCTTTTGATGACAATTGTCATAAAAACTTATTTACAGAAAACTGTTCAAGAACTGATTAAGAACTGGAACTCAAATTTTTGATTCAAAGTGATCTACTCACCAAAAAGTATTACAGTAGAGCGTTGTTTATCCGAAAGAATTCCAGTCGTCAAGTTTAAATTTTCGCTAGTGCTGTGGTGCTGCAATCTTTGGCTATATCTTAGGCTATTCCAATATATTTTTTTTGTTGGTGTGTGTGTTTTAGCTGGCAGCACTGGCACTTTTATGTGGTGTTTTCTGAGGACTGTGTGTAGTGCTGAATCGAACGTTTTTGATACTAGATTAACTTCTAAGGTATACTTTTTTTGTTTTTATATTTCTCAATATATTTATTTTGTTTGTAAAAAATTAAAAAATAATTTTTAACGATACAATAGCCACGATGATCATTTTAAAAAGTTTACATTAGGCTTAACATTGATGAAAATTCAACGCAAAGCAACATGCAAACGAGAAAAATTTCAACATGGAATAGGTTAATATATAGGTACATAATCGGTTATCCGAAAAATAAGTTATCCGAACAACCTCAGTCCCCAATTGATTCGGATAAACAACACTCTACTGTATTTTTTAATGACTGGCATTTGTTATTAAAATTTGGTCTAATTCAAATTTCAACTTTAAAAAAAAATTTTGAAATATCATTTTCAATTTATTTTCTAAAAATTTAAATTAAAAGTTTGAAGAAGATAAATATCACAGTTATAATGAAATAATATTCAATATTTTATTTTACACATTATATATATATATATTGGATATCAATAAATAACCCATCAATAAATACAGTACTTCAAAATTAATTTGCATAGCAATGCAACCTGGCAATAACTGAGAGGTACAGATAAGGTAAACATTGGTACAGCCAATCAGTAGTGCATGTAATCTCACGGTAGAAGGCCAACATTTAAATAGAGCAAATGTGCCATAATTCTGTTCATAACCACAGAATGGACTGGATCTATAAAAATTCTACATATGAAAAATGTGTATGGATAACACACACTAACAAGGAGACCCTACGGCTTTGGGGAAACGGATTTTGATGATCTTTGATGTATAGATAGTACAAATACACTACTCCATCTTTTAGCCGCTGCTTCGAAACATCACTGTATAAAGAGTTATCATCAACAGTTTTTTCGTCACAACATGAACTTGCTTCTCTTGATGACAATTTTTTAATTATAAAATAATCATTCAAAATAAATTTCACTGCACAAATACATCTATTCGTGTCGAAATTCAGAAACGAACTGTTAAAGAGTGAGTGAAAAAGAACTCCAATAGAAAAAACGCTCGGTCACCGTTAGTGATAACAATTAGATGGGAAAGTTGACACATAGGTGTTAAGAATGTGCCATTATTGTCAACAAAAGTAAAAAAATATTAGACTTGGAATAGTAGAAATTAAATTAAAATAAATAAATAATAAGAAATAAATGAATGAGTAAATAAATAAATACATTATAAGTATTCATGAATTTAAAAAAAAAAAAGTATACACGAGAATCGAACCCAGGAACTCAAGTGTACAAGTCAGGATTGTTACCACTCAGCCACAAGTCATTCAAATGGAAGCATGTATAATTTATATATAAAGTGCTAAAAAAACTTTAAGTTCATTTTTCTCTTATATTTGAGTATTGCACTTTAGTATTTTACAGGTAGTACACTCACATGGTGTACTATCTCTACACCAAAGATCATCAAAATCCGTTTCCCCAAAGCCGTAGGGTCTCCTTGTAAGCTTAGCCCAAGTGAATGCACGGAGAATAATGTCTTGTGAAAGGGTTAGTCACACATTGTCCTATATACCGTATTTACTCGAATATAGCGAGGTTGTCTTATACGCTAGTAAATACAGTATATGTATATAAAACATAATAAAAATATCTAAGTTTTATTTTATAACACAGTAATTCATATTTTATTTTACAATTCATAATACAAGTTCAGTGACATACTATACGTCAAATGTTTAAATACAATTCATTTCCTGTCTGAACACAAACTAAGAATTAAGTCAAAGTGCTAGCAATTCAATATTTTAAAGAGTCCCTGAAACAACACTACTGGCTTGAATAAAAAAATATTGCATGCACTTGCACTAACAAGTTTGGACATTGTCACTTTGACCACACGTTATCTTGAAAATGAAATCATGGACCCCAATTTTTATTACATTTTTAATCTCTTCTATTCATATTATGTAAAATGAAAAGTTTAATCAAAATTGACAATCAAATTTTGAAAAATTCAATTGTATAAGCCACACAGAAGAGGCATCAAGAAAAACACCAAAACCAGTAAAACTATTTAATAATACAAATGTTTTCATTCATTAGCCCTGATCAACATCAGGTATTTTCCCAATGTTGTTTGTGGTGTTCATTCAATGTATATTTGGTGATTTTCATTACATACAATGAACTGTTGAAAGAAGTGGAAGAGGCTTCATTAATGCTCTGTCTCAAATATTTTTGAATATAACTTTTTTATTATTATTATTTGAATTACTATTTTTGTGATCTGATAATGCAAAATGTCTTAACATTTAATCTTGGTTATATACTGCATTATATCATTTTTACATTTGTCTGATTACAAGAATTTTTGTTATACAGTAGAGCATCAATTATCGGAATCAATTGGGAACTGGGGTTGTTCGGAAAATTGATTTTTCAGATAACTGATTACGTACAAAAAAATACATTATTAATATAGTATATCCCAATAATAGTATATTAATATATCCCATGTTTAACTTTATCTCCGTTGCATGTCGCTTCGCGTTGAATTTTTGTCGATGGTAAGCCTAACAAAAATTTTTCTAATACTAATTGTGCTATTGTATCGTGCAAAATTATTTCTTTATTTTGTACAAACAAAATAAATAAATTGAAAAATATAAAAACAAAAAAAATTATACTTTAGAAGTTAATCTAGTATCAAAAACGTTTGATTCAGCACGACACAGTCCAATTGGAATGCTTTCAGTTAACCAATGTTTCAGTTGATCGATATTCAAATAATCGACGCGCTACTGTTTTATTTTTGATAAAAATTAAATTATTTTAAAAAATAAAATGTGTATTTAATATTACAGTTATCCTCTTTCCCCATATTGTCAATATTTCAACAACTGTAGTTATCACCAAACATTCATTTAAAATGTAATTCCAATTTCTGGTGAAGGATGCCTGTTAAAAAATTTTCTTAAACCAAAACTGCATAATTTCTATAAGCAAAGTTATACTAGAAATAATAACTGTTTCAAGTTTACAATCATATATTTATGTTGGTGTGTTTACTGTATCTATTTTAAAACTTAAAAATGATCATCATCATAAACATGCTATATGAAAAACTATGAACACTTTTATGCTATTATTTCCTATGATTATTTTTCTTGTAATATTTTTTATAGGAAAATTCAAACTCCAATTTTCCTCTTACAGATAAACCTATATTTCAAAATAGATCAGATAACCACTTAAACTGGTTTAATTTAGAAACATTTTATTAATCACCTCAGTAAATTTAGTTTTATTCCAGTATTATCTTAAAAATGATAAGATAATACTGGAATAAAACTAACATTGCTGAGATGATTAATATTAATTTTTTGTCATGTTTTGATTTGTTTCTCTTTAAGTAACATTTTATTAGTATAATTTATAATTTTGCATTTAAGCAACTAAAGAGGTAGTGTGTAGAACATCCTGTTTCAAATATCTTTTATAAATTCTGCTTTTTAAAAGTTGTTCTTTTTGCTCTTTAAAAGTAAAATACTTAATTTAATGGCTCTATTTCAGAAAAGCACTTCAGTGTTTTAAATTCAGCTTTAACCATATTAGTAGTTAATTTATTTTCAATAAAAATTACACAAAGTCAATATTAATTGCATTATATTTGTATTACATCAATATCTTATAAAATCATGAAAGATATTCAATCAACACACACATAATAGTTGTGTTTATAGTTCTTACATAAATTTAAATGATAGGTAGAAACAACCTAACTTCTACAGGAAAATAATTTCTTTTTGATTTGTTAAATTCTTTGTGTTAGATAAATAGTATAAAAAAATTCTAAAAATAAATGAACAGGGAAAAATAATCAATTTGATACTTCTTAATAATTTTTACTCATGAATCATAAATTTAGGTTCCATTATTTTTACACAATCAATAATTGTATCATGTTACTAAAGAGAAATGCAAATAATATATGAAAACATTTTGTTTTAAATTCAACAAAAAATTTTATGAAAATTCAATAATGAATTAGAATATAAACATCAGAAACTAAAATTAAGTTCAGATTTACTTACATATTACTTTATTAGAACTAAATGAAGCATACAGGATTTTTATTTACAAATTTTAAATATTGAATGATTTTATCATTCAATATTTAAAATTACATTTTTAANACAGATATTTCATTAAAAATATAATAAATTAGTAAAGCATTATGATATACCAAGTCTAAAAGAAATAATTGATTGGAAGGATAAATTAATTGTAAAAAAATGTAATGTTAATATACCTAAGAATTTAAAGAATTGTTAGTAAAATGATTAGACTATAATGCTCAAACATATATGCCAAAATCTAAAATAGCAGTGGAATTAGAATATACTATTGATAATATTAATGGAATAGAAAAAAAACTGAAGTTAGAAATAAAATTCAATATATTGTAAAAAATCATAACTTAGT